CCCTTCGACGGATCGGCGAGGCGTGGGGGGCCTGGTGGCGCAGAAGGGCGATTCAATTCTCAATTCACGCTTGCCAGTTGCGCGCGTGCAGCTCGTGGGCGCCGCTGTGCGCCGCATTCTCCTTGGCAGTGTGGCTCTGTGGGTGAGGCCGCGCCCGCGGAACAACATCGGTGCCGCCTGATGGTGATGATTTGCTGGGGCTGTCGTTTGGGACCCAGTGGAGAGTACCGTTCGCGTGCGAGTGGTCGAGGACAGGGTCTGTCCTACGGTGGGCAGTTGGAGCGCGTCGGAGACGCGGTCGGGGCATTGTCGCGAGGGCAAACGATGGGGAGGGGCCGCGCCGAAGGGTGCAAGTGCGACCAAAGCAGGGAGGTCGGGCCCGCACAGCAGAAATGCCAATGACCGGGGCGTTGTTTTTGCGCAGTTTACGTTTTTGAACAAGGCTGGGCCCATCTTCGCTCTCTTCACGTCTTCATAAAAACAATACACGCGGCCATACTTGCTGGAGGTTTTCTGGCCCTTGCTTTCGCGTGTGCTGCGTTCCTCGAGACGCCCACACTACTGCCATTTACCTGCCTGGTTTACGCAAGCAGTGCCCCGCCTCCCGTCTCAACAGTACTGGGTTGTTGCCAGGCACCGTCCGCGCTTGCGCGCTCCAGGCGTCGTTTTCCTTCGCGCCCTTACCTTCGACTTCGCTCGCGGCGTGTACGTCCAAGCATGGCGCAACTGCATCTTTGTGTCTTTGCGCCCTCGCACTCCCTTATTGCCTTGGGCCTAGGCCAGTTTCGCCGACAGCAGTACCTGTTCACCGCCGCGTGTTTCGAGCGCGCGTGTTTTTGGAAAGGATGCGGTCGCGTTCAACAGAAGGTGGTTAGTCCCATTTGCCAATGTGGGCCTGGGACCCGAACGATCCCATGATGCACGGCGCGATGGCGCCGCTGGTGGGTTCTTCGGCTGGTTGTCCTTCGTGGCGTTTTCCTGGGCGGCCTCTGGCGTGGCGTCTCCAGGCCCCGCGCGCCCTGCACTGGCCTCTTCGGCGAAGGCCTGAGCAACCTCCCCGCTGGGCTCTCCGACGGCAGCCTCGGCCTGGTCTGGGCGCGGGGGGACGAGGATGACGCCAGAACGCCGCGCGCGCTGCAGTTAGCGGCGCGCGCCACCCCTTTTCACGCCGGCCTCCTGGTTGGCGAGGGCCCTTTCCTCTGTGTGCATTGCATTGGCCCTGGTCGTCGTCCCCGCCACCGATGCGCAGCTCTCGCGCGTGCGTGCCGACGGCAAGACAATACTCTCAACCTCTGCAGGGTGGCGGCCTTGTTCCCTCCTCCCTCCGGTGGTCGACAAGATGGTAGCGGCTTTTTTTTTGGGGTGGGCCTCAAATTCTCGATGGTGACTCCTCTCCTCCTTCCTCCTGCGACTTCTTCGTCGTGGTCGTCAGCCTTCTCCTCGCGCCCTGTGGGGTCGCGGTCTGGGGGTCTTAGGCGTAATTCCACGGATCGTCCTGCTCCGGAATTTTTTGGGGCGCGTGCCGTGGTGGCAGCGGCTTCCTCCATGCTTCTTCTCCGCC